ATGAGTACTTTATCATGCACCGTGGTGGCCAGTCATTGATGGGGCTGCTTGTTTTGGGCCACTGTTCAGAGCCTCCTTTTAAATGACTGCTGTGTACAGATGCATACCACACAGACGAGAGGCTTCAGTGTCTAAAAATGTCCTGGGAATCTCTTGGTGTCAGCATGCTGAAATCTTCTTCAATTTACTAGCTAGGTCTCACTGTTCTGGTAAAATGGATTGCCACTGCAAACCCAGTTATTGGCTTGAGAATTGAGACGTATTGAGACGCTGGTTCAGTGTAAGTGGATTCTGTCTTACTGATGAACAGAGCTCAGTGCTTTGATATAGACTGGTGTGAAATTAAATAAGCAAGATTCAAAGAGAAGAGACTGAAAGAAGTGAGCAAGTTCATCCCTGACTGAGGAGCTGCTGAGGTCACCCTGGCCTTGTCAGCATGACTTAACCAATGGCGTATAGCTCTACAGTGAGGACGATAAGGACAGAGAGAGGGCAGAGAGGTGGTTAAGGGACTAAACAAGTAGCACATTGTCACTGTGGACCTGTCAGCTTGTGTTACAGCCAGTGAGAAAGTGGGACAAAGTGCTGCTCAGGCTTTTTGGAAATCAGGCAGCCCCTTAGCCATTTCTTGCCATTCTCAATGATGATCACAGGCAATACACTGGGGTTGCTAAAGGGTCTGGCTAACCCTAGCATGCAAGACTTTTAATAATAACCCCTGAAGTGGTAACTTACGGTAATAACATGTCCATGATCAACAATCTGAAGCTAGAGAGTAAATAGTTCTAACATTAAAAAAAATAAATCATCTGATCCTTACCAGGTAAATGTAGTCAAATAAAACCAGAAGAACACATGAAATAATACACAGTGCCATTATTTATTTAACTAAATGTAAGGAATTCTGGCCCACTGTTTTTCCACAAATGCTTCAGTTGTGTGGCGTTTGTGGTCATTCCTTTATGCACAGCTCTCTTGAGGTCCTACCACAGCATTTCAAGGTCTGGACATTGACTGGGCCTCTCCTCTGACTCTAGAATAGTTTGGCATATATAAGAGTTTGTGGTTGACTCAGTGAATGTGGAGTACCAAGTGGCCAGCATCTCCACTCATGTCTCATCTGTTCAGAGAACTTTGCTCCAAAAGTCTTGTTTATTCAGCTTCCCATGGGAACACCTCCAATCATATTTCTTCAGAGTCTTTCTAACTGTACTGTCATGAACTTTAATATTTAATGTGCTAATTACAGCCCACAGGGTCTGAGATGGAGTTCTTGGGATTTCGCAGTTTCTCTTAGCATTGCATGGTGAGCTGAGCTCAGGTGAATTTCTGGGACTTGAACCATCTTTAATTTTCCAACTTGTGAATGGTATTTCTTACTGTAGATTATTCTAAGATAATACTTTAAACTATTTCATAACCTAGATAATTATGCATGGGCTACAAAAATGATGTAGTGGAGATATGATATTGTAGCAGCCTTACTCCGTGTGTAGCACAGCGAGAAGCTTGTTTGTGTTCTTTGCTGATATTCTAATGATGTTTGATTCCTTGGAAAGTGATTCTGTCACTACTTAAAGTGTGCTTGTAGCCGTAAAGCAAAGTGATCCACCCGCGATGCAGTAGTGTGGCCATGTATGCAGAATACATTTAACATTAAACATGAAATCAGATGGAAACTCTAAGGTCTGTCGCAGTCGTGTAAGAACCGTGTTGTAGTCCTGACAGCACACATGTATGTGGGGGACATGTAAGAACAGAGCTGTGCTGAGCATGTGGAGCCTACTCCTCCATGTCTTTTGTTGTTCCTCATAATAAAATGAGTGAAACCATGGCAACAGCACAAGTTTCTCCCATAATAAAAACAGCAGAAGATTTATCCTTTGTCCCTTTTTTACTTGTCACACTGCTTTACTGTGACATTTGCAGCCTAGCAACGGCACCTGATGATATCTGAGATGGCAGTAAAAATGCAAAAATAAATGGACGGATGGAACGTCACCACATTTCTCCCCGGGTACTCCCGCTTCCTCCAACAGTCCAATGACATGCAGTTTGTGGGGATAGGTTAACTGATCAATCTAAATTGCCCAATGGTTGTTTGTGTCTGTGTGTTGGCCCTGCGACAGACTGGCGACCTGTCCAGGGTCTACCCCGCCTCTCACCCTATGACAGCTGGCGTAGGCTCCAGCACCCTCCCGACCCTGAAAAGGATAAGCAGAAGCGAATGGATGGATATATGTATATATATATGTATATATATATATATATATATATATACATATATTCGTGCTGTTAGCGTTAATCTCCTTAAAATGACGTTAATGCCATAACCGCATTAACGCGGCAAATCTCGGTTAGCGAGTTAGCGCAGATCGCCCTGTGCTGGGGCTACACACGTTAACGAGCTAACCGTGCTAACGAGTTTATATAGCAGCCACACGCTGCTATATATATATATATATTTATATTTGTTAATTTGAGTTTATTACAGTTTAGGTTTTAGTTTAGTTTCCCCAGCTTGCCTTGTTTCCCCACCATCTTTAGTACAGCGGCTGAAATGAACATTGCTTTCCCTTCTATTCACTTTTTATGTGTTTATGTATGCAAGAGACCGTATAAGTAACTTTTGATTTTAGGATCACAAATAGTTCTTTCAGATTATATTTGACTATTTAGCATTTGTACATGATCGCTTTCCTTATTGTGTCTTTCTTCATGCCTTCTCCTCCACTACTCTTTCTCCTCTCTCATTTCCACCTCATTGTCTTCCTCTTCAAGCTTCATCTTCTGCACCGAAGTCAGGAGATGAGGCTCTAAAAATAGTATCATTACTACAATGTACTGGCTTGTACATCTTGAGGTTTTAATTACTAACTATACTGGTGTGGTTAAAGGTTTCCATACAGTCACAATGGGCATGAATGTCATGGTAATTTGAGTCTTTTAATGATTTCTTTGAGCTCTTCTCTTTCCAGGTAATCACTTTTTATTGTAAGTTATAAAAACAGGATTGATTGGTCAAAAACTTGGGGGAGAACTTTCGGTCTAGCAGAATCAACATCAAAGTTTTGTACCTTCCGGTGCCAACAACAGTCCAGGCAGATCATCCCCCTCAAATTCCTCAGAGAGGGGGAATTCTCCCTGCTGTTAGTGTCTGAGTGCAACGGTCTATTCTACAATGGTAAATGGTAAATAGCCTGTATTTATATAGCGCTTTTACTAGTCCCTAAGGACCCCAAAGCGCTTTACATATGCAGTCATCCATCCACCCATTCACGCACACATTCACACATATACAATACATATATGTGTACAATAAAGGATAAAACAGTGACTTTTAGCCAGCATAGTTTGATCCTCATCATCGTCAGATAGGCTCATGTGGCTCTGTTTGAAAAACAGGCTTTAAAGTGGTCAGTGCAGTGTTACTGAGCACAGTGCAGGCCCTGCATTCTTTTACTGATGTTACGACTATCACGGTGTGCAGTGTATTTCATCCCAGTACATCCCTACCAGTGTCACCATGGAAATACAGCTCCTCATATCAATGATGAGTAGCTGACGTGGTAGGGTCATCACTTCCACTCCACCTGGTGCCAGTCGCGTTGCTGTTGAGTTTTATTTGGTTATATTTTATCAGTTGTCTAATGTAAGAGATCTATCGTGTGGACTCTTTCAGTGGCTCCAGAGTGCGATGCTTTACATTCACCTAATGAGTGAAAGCAGCCTGGTTTGATCCCTGGAGGAACCAAATACACTGCTTAGTTAACTGTCCCAACAGACTGGGAAATAAAGTATTTGCAGGGAAAAACTTGGACATATGAGAGAAAGTGAGTTATGGCGCTATGATTTATGACAGGGGAAGTAAGAAAAAAATTGGCTTGGTTTGTCCCCAGTATACCTTTTTTGCTTTCTTCTGACCAGTGCTTGTGCTAGGTCCTCATCGGGGTCAGAGTTTTCTCCAGCACCAGGTCCCACTGACTACTTTGTCCTTTCACATATGTATCTATTACTATTACGCTGCATCGGCTCACTCACAGCATGGCTGTTATGTAATTTCTTCTTCATCTTCTTCTGTTTTACTGACAGCTGGCAACCCATTTAATTAGAGCAGGTAGTTGTACTGCCCTCTAGTGGAAGAGAATGTAATTGTTCTGCCCGATACCCACACCGATCGCTTAGATTACTAATCAGGTGGAACCAGATAATCTTCCACGGCACACCTGATCATTTCTCACGGCACACCTATGTGCCGCAGTGCAGTGGTTGGGAAACACTGCCTTAGCTGAAGAGGAGTGACTGCGTCAACCACCGTACCTGTTTTTACTGGTCACCTCGGGTTTCTATCACTTTTCACTGGTTCCCTAAGCCACCGTAGTTTTTGTGTCTAAAAGCTATTATGTTCTCTAGTGGCATGATCTTTCATATTTTTCTCCTCATGAAGAGAAATCCCACATCCAGACCCAAACATGAGTGTGTCTGCTAACAGGAACTGTGTGTTTAATAAAGTGTGATATTACTCGGTGCCACACACATGTCAGTGATTCACTGACTGTTACACTGTTACACTGTTCTTTCATTCCACAAACACACACTGGCTTCTTTTGCATCAGTTACACATTCACCATTCTGCTGCTCACTGGCATCAGTGTCTGAAAACAATAATAAATACAGTTTATTTATAATTAATTTTAATGTTGCATTGAAGCTGCCTGACGTAAACAGCTGTTTAGAAAATTACTTGTTTGAAAGGTTTCCATCCGTCCCTGATTTAGACGTTTGCTCCAGCTCTTCAGACCTCACCCTGGGGACTGGAAGACTTCTATAGTGTAAGGATCAGTGGCCTGCCATGTTTGTCTGTAGCAGCTTTCTTTGGCTAATAGTCAACTTTAGAGAGTTGTATAGAAAGTGGGCTCGGTCCTGTTTTCAAAAGCATACATATTTGCACATAGACAGGCTTGAGTCCTTTTGTGTATTCAGCAGCTGTGTCACTAGTGATGGAGCCCACTGAGAGAGCACTGGTACGAATGACTGACAAAATAACACCACCCACACTAGCAGCACCCACTCACAGGTAAAGTGCTGCTCCTTTCAGTAATCTGTTTTCTTTGTGTATGTGGCCCCTATTTCTCCTAGATCACAGTGACAGAGACTGTGCTGTTTCTGGTTCAGTACACGTCCAAGGAGTTTGACCGTTTAGAGAAGACAGTGGCCACCGGAGACTGCTGTTACCTCAACCCACTGGTACGCAGAACATTCCGCTTCCTCGGTAAGTTTTAGGCGTGTGTATGCTTGTTTCTGTTACTTCACCTGTCAAAGCTGAATGTTTTTCTATAAGTCTGTGAGAAAACTGGCCACATGTGACATTCACATAATAAACTAGTTAGTTGAGTTTGTTGATCAGGTCCTTTGATCAACAAACACACTTTTTCCCACTAAATTGAAAAACTAAGATCGACTACAGGAACAGCACTGATGTTTTGGACGCTAGAAACAACTTTTCTTTCACTCAACCTGAACTAATCGTCTCAGTAAAGCTCCACCTGTTTGCTCTTTGCATTGTGTAACTGTGCCAGTGTCATCATTGCTGCTGCTGTTGGGTTATCAGTGTTTCTGATTAAAACTGGGGGCTCCTGAATACGTTTGTGTTGCAGGTCTGTTTTTAGTGGCAAATGTGGGTGCGTTTGCATTTCCACAGTGACAGTGGTGCTCTACAGAGCCATGCCTTAAACGAAGAGAAAGACCTCTTGGATAAGTATTATTTAAACCATGAAAGGACATTCATTACCTTTAAGTCCAACTACTTGTTCTAGCCTTGCCAGGAGAATATTGTGATCAACCGTAGGGCTGTGCGATATGACCAAAATCTCATATCCCGATATAAGACATCTATCATCCCGATAACGATATAAATCACAAGAATTTAACATTTTCTGTAAATTCTGTGAATCTCAGGCAGATTGACTTGCATTGAAGTGTTTCCAGCTGGGCGTCATGTACCTGGAGTTGAGACTTTTAACCGATGCATGAAACGATATATTTTTAGACATAAGTTGTAATGGCCGTTGTTTTCTTTGTGAGTATTTATTACACGGCGTGCTGCCGGGAAAAGCCTGCTCTAACGTTTGAGTCTAAGGTTTATTTTTTAGCACCCGATGGCTCTTTTTTGCTTCTCATCCATAAATGCTCTCCATACTCTTTCATGGGATTTAGTTTATTTTGAAAAGTCTCAACAGGATTTTGAGCTTTATTGTAAAAGGTATGCAAAACAAACAAGCAGACGGCGGAGCCACGCCATTTTTTTACCGTCTTGGTTGCTAACGACAACGTGTAAAAACAGGCACTTGTCCGTCCGTAGTGTGGTTATATTAAATATAAGACAAAGAGAGAACAGGTCAGCCCGGCAAGGAAAATCAGTGAGGCCACTGATGATATGGCAGAAATGGGCAAAAAATATTGCAAAAAAAATTCAATATCTCAAAAAGTATAGAAGTTATGAACACCAAAAGTTATAGCCGGCATTAGCAGAAAGAGCAGAATTTTTTAAAGTTTGAACGGTGAAAATCGGATGAAAACTGTGGGAGTAGTTAAGTGCCAAAAAGTGTACGGAAGCAACTGGAATATAGTGGAATAAAGAATAAAGAGAAACAGAATCAACATGCCCTTGAGGGCATCCACACAAATATTGACGTAAACAGTTTCTTTTGCGACACCACGAAACAAACGATAGCATAAAATGAAACGATGGACGTTTTTATATCGTCAGCTGATATATATCGTTATATCGAACAGCCCTAATCAACTGTATCGTTAAGTCAAATAAAACTAGGACCACTGAGCGCCCTGAATCAGCAGTTAAAAGGAGGTCATTAAAAACTCTTAATAGCGCTGTCTCGGTACTGTGGCGTGGTTTAAACCCAGATTGGAATTTCTCGCTGATTCCATTAGTCTCTAACAAGGTCAGCAATTTATGAAGGACTATTTTTTCCGAGATTTTCCAATAATGGCGGTTGAGGCTGTGATGCTATGTTCTTTGACCAGGAGAGATCTTCTGAGATGTGCACACACAGGAACTTGGTGCTGCTTACCCTCTCCACAGCAGCACTGTTGATGGTTAGTGGGGTGTGCAGGGTGTGAGTTCTCCTGAGGTCTGTGGTGATCTCCGTAGTCTTCTCCACATTCAGGGAAAGGTTGTTGTTGCTGCACCACTCAGCCAGATGGTTAACTTCACTCCTCTATGTCTCATCGTTGTTGCTGATGTGACACAGCTGTGTCTGAGGCCAACTTGATGTAGCTGTGTGATGGTGTGCAGTTGAGAAGGGGGCTCAACATACATCGTTGGGAGCCCACGTATTCAGTGTTCTTGAGCTAAAGGTGTTGTTGCCGACCCGTACTATCTGCTGTCTTCCTGTCAGGAAATCCAGCAGCCAGTTACACAGCGAGGTGCTGAGCCCCACCAGATCCAGTTTGTTAATGAGTTGCTGGGGAATGATTGTGTTGAATGCTGAAGTCAATGAACAGCACTCTAACATATGAGTCAGATGTGTGAGGGCTGATTGAAGGCAGTTAAAATTACATCATTGATTTGGCGGTTTGACCCGTATGGACCGGCAGGAATGATTTCCTGTGCCGTTCAGTGGTGCATTTGGGTAAGTTCAGTCTCTCACTGAACACCCTCCTGTGACAGGCCAGGATGTCATAGTGTGGGCGGGAGGTATTGTCCACCATTGTGCTCGCCTTGGACATCATAAGGGAGTCCAGCTCCATCCCCACAACATTGCTGGCTTTCCAGATCAGTTTATCGCGTTTGTTGTGACCATTGGCACCCTCGTCTCCTGGACTGGGGCAGGATGTCTCAGGATGGGCGACGCGGAACACCCACTTCACCTCCAATAACGGGCAGTCCTGGCGGATGTGCACTAGTCGCCCACATCTCCAGCACTCTTGCTCTGATGCTTGTGCTGCTCCGATGAGCTGAGCACAACTTCCATAGCCCTCATGACCTGCAGAGAAACAACAGAGGAGAAGGGGTTAGAGAAGGGGTTAGTATCCATTTCCAGTGGGAGGAAATGGCTAGAGCTCCATAACCACTGGCCGGGCTGGTGATGCCACCGGGTGCCTCTTCCTTTGGGCCAGGACTGGTCAGTTGGTCGCTGCTTGCCCCAGCTGCTCCCATGGTGGTTCCACCCAAGCTGCTTGAGGCTCGCCAGCCAGTGACAGTGAACTCACTCCACTGTTCTGACCGAGACAAACTGCTCCTGGACGACAGTGTCGAGCAGCTGAGGTTTACTTAGGGCTGCAGCTTCCTGGCCGTGGCTTCATGCAGTCACCTCACTTAAGCGAAGGGCTGTCTGCAACCCTATCAAACTGTTCCGGAACCAGCACCAATGGTCTATCCAGTCTAGGATGGTCCATCTAATGTAGGAAGGGTGCCCTTGCTGTTGCGTGGAGGCTCATAACTGCCACCTGGGCCTCCTCCAGTCAGCAAGGAGCCAGAACAAGTGATGAGGTTTTCCAATACTTCTGTCTGCTGCTTGCTCCAGGCATGTACCTCCTCCAACTGCTTCAGATGCACAGCTGCCAGCTCAGACACCATCTGGGCCAGTGCCCCCATCAGCTACACAGGTTGGGGCTCTGTCATGCCAGCCTGGGTTTCAACACCACTGTAAAAAGAACCTGGCACGACCCATACATGGCTTCTTCCAAAACCTTTTTGCAATTTTCAGTGTCTCTCTGGCAGCTTGATTCCCATTGCACTCCTGTTAGCTGCCTCGATCAGCTGCTTTCTTAGACAGACACCAAGATCCCAACATGAGCTGAAGATGTTCATTTGGACTGAGCAGCACGGGCAGGATAAGCAAAGAGGACATCAGAGGGACAGCTCAAAGTTAAAGAGGTTGAGATGGTTTGGAGATGTGCAGAGGAAGGATACTGAATGGTGGACAAAGGATGATGAAGATGGACCTGAAGGGCAGGAGGGGAAGACCTCAGAGGAGGTTCATGGATGTAGTGAAGGAGGACATACAGAGGGATGGCCACTAAAGGATGCAGCGAAAGAGAAGAAGAAGAAGAAGAGCCCATGCGATAATATCCAACTTCAATGCAATATTTTTCTCACACGTCACACAAAAGGGCTAAGGAGAAGATCAGAGTAACAGAGTCAGTGTGTAAGAATCATTCACCGCAGGTTGGCCTCTTCTCTCTGATGGGTAATGAGAGATGGAGATAAGACTGAGGAGTATTACATAGTTCCTTAGGGATGAATCCACTTGGGGGCCTGGCTTTATCCTTGCATTTACACATTCAGCACACTATTCATGCTGCTCCTTAACATTAACAGTCCTCTCATTGCAGACTAAAGCTCCTTTTATCCCTTTATCTTATATTGGAATTGGTTGTCTTGCATTAAACAGTGCCAGAGTGTATCAGAATAAAGCTCATGTCTTAGTGTTAATTGATGTCAGTTATGAAAGTGCTCCACAGTGACTTTATGATAAAGTTGTCTTTTCCCAGCAACATGGAGAAGAAGGATGAAGAGCTTTAGCTGCAGAGGGGTTTTGTAAAGTGATGAAAGTGTGCCACATTAAGAATCAACACCATCCCCGCTAGAAGAATGACTTTAATGCAGATTCAGAATTGCTTTACCCTAAAACCGAGGCTCTGGCTCGAAGAGGAGAACTGCCACAAAAAACAATATTTTATCCAACAAAGGAAAAGCTATTCTAAAAGCAAGAAGGAAGAACTTCATCATTATGAAGCACACGTCATTAGCACAATGTAGAGGCTATAGAACGGAGATAGATAGCTTAACTAAAAGCCTCACTTTAACTCTGTAATTTTCTCTGCTACAAGGTACAAAAGTGTCTTAAGCAAATGGCAGCTCAATTATACAAATAAAACAAGACGAGGATAGTGCTTTGCCCTCTGAAAAACTACTAATCACTGAGCCTGGCAAAAGAAAAAGACAGGCTTGTCAGAGGAAGCAGCAAGGAACTCAACCAAAAGTAAAATAAGATCAAATGAAATATAAATCCATGGAGGGCTGAGAGGGTGAAAATATGACATGCTGTTATTTTGAATTAAGCCTATTTGGTTCCTTTCTCAGCTCAATCTCATAGTAAAATTTAGAACAGCTACACTTGTGAACAGTGAAAATTATAGCACAATCCTATTTCCAAAACAGTTGGAAAATGTAAATAAAAGATTTCCCAATCTCATAAACCCACATCTTAATCAGAGGGCTTGATAGAACTAGAATCCCTAGAATAA